GGGGAAGAGGGGCAGGTGCGTGGCGAGCAGTGGGGCCATGGTGAGTGGCAACAGTGCAGTGTCTGTTTGGCCCTGCTTCTGTGAGACAGTGGTACGGAGTGGCAGCGCTCTGTCCCCACCCGCTCCCACATACCCCCTGGGACCTTTCAGAGTGCCCCAGGGGTACGCATACCCCCCGGTTGACAACCCCTGCTTTAGTGCACTCCAGCCAGACACCACAGACGTGGTCATACTAATCTAGTTTAATCTCCAAGGGCCTGGACGTGCAACACATTTACAACAGTTTAATTTACATTTTTTGTATACAAATGTAAACTGCACTGGGAACTAAAGTGGACAGATGAGCAACTATTCCAGGGTAGCTGCTTGCAGTAAGTGTTTCTGCAGTACTTCACACCTGGTAGTGGAGGAGCAGGTAATCCCTGTTTGCCTTGAGTAAATGGTTATCTGATGATAGTCTTTTTCCCTTGGGTAATTCTACACCAGATTCTAGTAGACAGTGCTAATGCAAGTGTAAATGTCTGTGTGTCTTCCTTGTTTGCACTGGCATAAAGGCTGATTACACCAATGGATATCCTAGAGGCACAAAACAGACCTTGTAACAGATTGAGGTGGCTTTAACTACCTGTAGTGCTTTTCTTATTCTGAGCTGCCTCAAGGTTGAAGAGAAACTCCTCTATGGTTTAGACTGTAAGTGTCATACTGGGTCAGACCAATGGTCCAATGGATGCTTTAGTGTGACAACATATGAACAGGTTATATCTATAGCAGGGGCGGGCAATTATTTTGGGTGGAGGGCTGTGTACTGAGTTTTGGCAAGCCATCAAGGGCCATGTGACAGGCAGCCAGGAGCAGATAAATATTAATTTTCAAAAATTTTTAGGGGCTCTGTGGGCCAGATAGAATGGCCTGGTGGTTCACAATTTGCTCACCCCTGATCTATAGGGATCTATTCCCTGTCCTACTTTCCCTGGTATCCACCATCATTGGCTTAGAGATGCCAAACGATACATCCTTGATTGTTCTGTTTAGTAGCTGTTAATGGATCTGTCACTTTTGAATTTGTCTAGTCCCTTTTTGAACCTGGCTATATTACTGTATTTACCTAAATCCAAGACAACCCCGAATTTAAGACAACCCTCTAGTAATTAGGTTCTATACATGGAAATTTTAAAATATTTTTTATAATTGGAGGGTTGTCTGAAATACGTTACTTCCCCTGCAGCATCAGAGAAGGCAGTGGAGGGGGCAGGTGGCAGCTGCAGCTTTGACCTCAGGTCAGGGTCAGGGCTGGAGCTGCCTGTCGTGCCCCCCCCCCCCCCCTCATACTCAATTCCAAGATAAGGGGCTTTCCCCGCACTTTAAATGGGGGTGGGGGAAAGCTCATCTTGGAATTGAGTAAATATGGTATCTACAACCTCCTGGGGTAATGAGTTGCAAAAGTTAATTATGCGCTGCGTTAAAAAAAGTACTTTCTCTTGTTAGTTTTAAACCTGTCTCCTACTAATTTCAGTAGGTGCAGCCCAGAACTTGGTAAATAACAGGTCTTGGCACATGGTCATTTAATGGCACAATGGGATCTGATTCCGATCCTAGCAGTCATGCCTCCTGCCTTACCACACATGCCTGTTAGAAAGTGACTGTTGGAATTGGAGATCAGACCTTTTTGTGCCATTACTACTTCCCAGTGTATGGGGAGCCCAGAATCATAATCCTAGGCTCTCCTTTCACCAGCAGATTAAAAGAGGAGTGCCCTCAGGTCCTGCTGGGGCTGACAGCTGGTTGTTGGCTCCAGCCACACCCTGGGGCTGTACCGGGAACTCAAACTGGATCCACTGTAATCTGGGACAGGAATAGACTGCATCAGGGCTGGTTTGAGTCCCCAGTAAAGTGAACTGACAGTCAGCTGATTGTCTCCCCAGCTTGACAACAAGCTGCTGATTATCAAAACCCTGCACTTGGCAGCTCTGTCCTGGCTTCATCTGAATCTGGGGTTCAGTTTAGCACAAAACCCCTACCTGCCTCTTTAAAGAAGGTGTTTGTTTCCTTTTTAAATCCAGCCAAACCAGTCTCTTCTCTCTTGATTCTGGCGAAATCAGTGTAGACATATCACCAGGAGGCTAGAGAGACAGCTTTCCCTACTATTTTATCTCTGTCCGATTATTGTGGTTCTTAAAGCGACTGGTTTAGGGGGGTTTTTTTGCCTCATTTTCCAGTAATGGTAAAACTTCTGTTATCAGGTCACTGTATTTCTTCCTGTCTATGAAGCTGTAGTTAGCCATGTTAGTTTGAAATCCGGCAGAATACATGGCAGGGTGGCACCTTAGGCTGTGAACAGACATTGCATTTGTCTTGGAAGAGAGCTTTTTGTCCCAGTATCATACAGGTGTGTATGTCTACTGTCCCGCTTCAAGTCCCTCTGAAGTGTGCAAGATAAAATGCACTAACATTGTTCCCCAAGATGTTCTGTTGTATGTCAGTACAGTGATTGTGGTTCATTCCAGGGACAAGCCAGCCAGGCTGTGTGCTCTTGCTGGCCACCTACTGGCAAAAGGGTAGCAATGCATCTTAAAAGAGTTGTAAATAAATTACTGTGTTGCTCCTGTTTTCCTGTCAAACCCTGGGACAGTTAGGTTCAGGTCAAATGAAACATTTGTTTGTACCTTAGAGACTAACTGGTTCAGAGAAGGATAAGCTTTCATACATATAAGCCTGCTTTGTCAGATGCTATGATTGGACTTGCATAAAATCTAAGTCCATTCACAGTGCATGACAAAGCAGGCTATCACCTATGAAAACATGCTTCTTTGGACCAATTAAGTCTCCAAGATGCCACCTTGTCCTGCCTTCTTCCTGCCTATTGTGCAGCGAAAATCTTCTTGAATTAACCTCATAAATGCACCATGATAAACAGCCCCATAACAAGCAGATGATAATAAAATGTTACAGGGAGCTGCCATGTTCTTTGTAGTAATAATACCATACCATATGCAATAAATCTTTTTTCTTTTGTGTTTATACTTGTATCTACTTAATATGGGCAGTGATAGTTTTTATGGCTTTTTGCGCCTGTTGTCAGTTAAGGAGCCAGTGCTACTAAGAGGAAGTAACCTGGAGTCTATACAGTTTGTGTGTGTGTGTTTTCCGTCAGCCAAATAAGTCATTTTTGTTTATTCAAATCCATTGAGAACAGTAGAGTTGCAAAATCATGAGTGAGAACCAGTTTTGATTTGCATACATTGTTGTTACACTTGGTGATGCAGGTTACTATTTTTCAGAATTGTTTTAAAAAGAGAACATCACTCAAATTGAACAGCTTCTGGGATATAGAGGACTATTTACACAGCATTCATAGCACCTGAAATTTTCAAATAATTTAAAATAATAGTTTAGCAATATAGAGTAAAATTTTAGCACTTGAACATACTAATATAGAGACTAATTCTTTATTTATCTGCAGAGGTGTTCTGCAGATAAATAAGGAGCCAAAATATTGGAAGGAAGAACTTTACAGAATAAGTGATATGAGTTTAGGCATTGAAGATGTATCAGATGTTTAGGATGAATAGAAAAAGGTGTTCTTGTCCTTTGACACAGACTTCCAACGTAAATTAATCACCTCTGTGGCCTGCTCAAATACTACTTGTAGGCATTGCTTTGGTACTGGCTGTTATGGTATCTGTCAAATCAAATTAATAGATATTCAAAAGAAAGCAACAGGTGGGAAAGTTTCTTACATTAGTTTTCAAATGAGAGGTTCTGTAACGTCTCCTGTATTGTTCTGTTATTTTAGTAGAAGAGGTTTTCCTGTTAAGTGGCGAGTAAAAATACAACCAAGTGCATAAATTATTTTTCTCCTATTTTGCATGGTATTCACCTCATTTAATTACCTTAACTTTTTGTGTACGAATTATTTAGAACCTGGATTTTTTAAATAAAATCCAGTAAATACTGTACAACAAAGCAGTTATAAACTCTAGTGATATAAACCAAATAGCAATTCTGTTAAACGTATTGCCAAACACTTTAAATGAATTACAGTGAAACAAGGGTTAAAAGCAAAGAGGAGGTTGTCTAGTCTATTCTAGCAGATGAATGCAGAGTAAGTTTTGCTTCTCACACTTTCTTCCTAAGTCAGTGCTGATAAGATACTGAAAATATAATGTAGTAGTACATGGTATGAAACTGAGTTTTAGTAATGCTCATAAAAATGCTCTAAAAAGTCAAACATGGGAAATGATAAAATAATTGTCTACAATTTGAGGATTGTTTTTATAAAAAATGTTATTTAAAATTGCTTCATGTTTTATTCAGATACCTTTGACAAATGGGCAGATGTGCCAGCCTCTGAGGCCTCAGGCAAACTATAGTCAAGTCCATCATCCCCCTCCCCAAGCGTCTGTGGCAAGACATCCCTCTAGAGAACAATTAATTGATTATCTGATGCTGAAAGTTGCCCATCAGCCTCCCTATTCTCAGCCCCAATGTTCTCCCAGACAAGGGCATGAATTGGCAAAACAAGAGGTAAGGATAAACATGACATGCACTGCAGCCATGAGGATAGGTTACTAATCAGTGATTATATATCATTTCCATCCATTAGTAACTGTGAGTACTGGGTGGTATTATTATTATTTAGTACTATTGCTGATTGTATGACAGAAATCATTTGGAGTTTAATTCCCAGCAAAAGAGCTACTATATCTGAGTTCTGTCATTACACGCTTTAAAAAAAAGAGAAAGAGAAAGAAAAAACATTGTAAATGGCCCCAAATCATACATTTAGTCTGATTTTGCTTTGTTCTCTTTCTTTAGATATGCAAATCATTACTAAGAATTAAACATGTTCATGCTTTTATCCGAAGCGTGTCAAGCTTTCAGTTAGGCTGTTTCTACTAAGATGTGAATTACTTCTCAGCCTTTTGGCTTTTCATGCTTACACAATCATTAAAAAATACAGAAGGGGTCATTCAAATCAAAATATACATGGTCCACATGAGACCATCTAGACTAGCACTATTCATCCAAAATGGTAAAATAACATGAATATTTAATAGTGAGTGTTCCTCATCAAAAACCAAGGGTAGAATAAGGTGATTTTTGCAGAATGCCCAAATGACTAACAAAACTTGGGTTGGACCATTCATGGAGAACACCTTTCCATCACCCTCTTTCAAAGCAAAAGCTGTTCCTGTGTTTTGACTGTTAAAAGCTGCAAGCTGCTTGGTAATAGCTACTTGAGACTTGAGGAATTGTTATTCCTCAGTAGGTTCTGACCTCGCCTAGGAAAATCAGATTCTGAATCATAGTTCAAAGCTGTGCAATCTTCCAGCGAAGTGGGAAGCTTCTATATCTGGTGCCTCTTTCCAGTCACCTGCTTCGATGCATCCCCTTGGAACAGCAGGGGTTTTGAGAGAGTATTCTGGGATACTGAGAACTCTTTGAGACTTTAATCTGTCTGAAACATTGCCCCAATCTGCCTGCAGCCTGAGGTTTCATGAAGAGCACTAGGTGGTAGTGTTCTGGATAAAGTGGTGGCATGTAAACAGTCACTTGAGTCATATTTTGTTATCATAATTAGCTTGGAGATTGAGCTCAAGTCACATCCTCTGTAAATTGTGGGAAGCAGGAGAACATGGGAATGGGGAAAACATGACATCTTTTTAACTATAGTTACTAGGCTATAGGGTCACTTCCCCTCTTTACCTCTCCTGTTGGGACTGGTCCACTTTAAATTATTTTTATGCATGAATAAACATTCATTGAGCCAGCAAGAGAGTATCTCTAGCCCAGTGGTTAAGACATTTCCCTGGGTTGTAGAACATTTGGGTTCTAGTCACTGCTGTTCCTTCCTGGACCTTTAAACTGTCGCTCCCACATGCTAGTCGAGTGCCTAACCCTTAGGTTATTGCCTTGTATTCTCTGTCTTTTCCCAGAGTACTGAAAGTGGTCTGTCTCTAGTCCTAATACCAAATGAAAACAAATAGTGAAACATACTTTTCAAAAACAGCATTTTTATTTCCCAGCCAGCCAGGAGAGACAGGGTTAGTTGTAGGAAACTCAAAGAGAGAAAACAGGCTATGAATTGGTGGAATTCAACTTGAAGTGTCAAGGAAGAAGGAAGGATAGGGAGGAGTTGTTTATATATTTGAGGTAATGTGTGTTTGTTAGCTACGTAAATTAGGCTATTAAACGATTTGTGTAACACCTCAATATTTCTGGGCTTAGACTTAATATATGTGGCAGTGTCTGATTAGATAATAATACATCATAAAAATTACCCAGTTTAGTTATGAATTGTGTGTTAAGATGCTGTTATACTAGAACATTTTATTAGAATCTGTATTTGAGATATGATGATTTCTCTTGAACTGCAGTAGTCTTTTTAGTAAGTGCTTATCTTTATTTGAAGACTATTTCAATCAAAGTATCTGAATATTAATAGGAGTGCTGAGAGTGCAATTTATTGTTTTTCTTAGTTCATATTTTTATGATCTATGTCTGCTGTTCTGTTGAAAGATTCCTTGTATGTGTTTAAAAATGCAAATGCTAAAAATAGTAAGCAAGAAATCAGTTTTTTGTCACTATTTTTTGGTCATGATTCCACTGATTACATAATCATAATGATTAAACATTATGTGATATCTGCATGCATATCCATTTCTTTGCATCTGGATTTTCAGCACAGTTGTTTTTACTTTCTTTGTAACAATGTAGATTTGTGTGAGAATTGAAAAAGATCCAGAGCTTGGATTTAGTATATCAGGAGGAGTTGGTGGTAGAGGAAATCCGTTCAGACCCGATGATGATGTGAGTATTTCATATATGTACACTTATTTAAAATCTCTCTTATCCTTAAAGCAGCATGTAAAGCAAAACTTTAAAATACCAAACATTAAATTAAATATAGCTGCTGAGATTGTGAGGTAGACTCAAAAACAGAAGTGAGGGAGAAGTAGTATATGGTAAGAATGGGGGAGAATATTTAAAAAAAAATAAAAAAGAAAGAAAAATGGAAAAAAGCTATTGAGGAAGAGAAATGGGGGAGAAAGGTTATAAAGATAGAGGTGCTAAGGAAGTGGGAAACAGTAAGGTGCAGTGTAGCCAAGTGACAATGGGACAGTTCAAATCCGGATTATGGCAGGATGTTAAAAATATCTAGCAATATAGTCATATTAGTGAATTATGGAACTGACTATTACAAAATCCAATAGAAAGAATTTTAGCTTATAGCATCCCTTCCATCTTGCCTCATAGGCCAGATCCAGACGTGCGGGATCCAAGGGCATGGCTGGCTGGGGTGCAGTATGCCTCAGTGCCGGGACTTCACAGTGGTCAGAGACAGGGAAGGAGGCAGCCCTGGGTCACTCTCTGGCTAGCTGGGGAATAGGGTGCCTCAGCATAGGGGCTTCCTGCTGGCTAGCCTTGCACTGAGGCACCCTGTGCCCCAGTCGTCTCCCGGTGCAGCACATGGAGCAGTGGGACAATGTGTCCTGCTGCAAACCCCATGAGCAGGGGCAGGCACTGCAGCACAAAGTGGTGGCACAAAGTGCCACTATTTTGTTGCTGCAAATGCATGCCCCTTCTTGTACAGATGCTGCAACAGTGCATATATGCCAGCTTAAACAAAGGAGGTTTGCATAGCGGAAAAATGCCATTCAGTTTGCCAGTAAATTTAGTTCTGCTGGATGTAAGGTGTTAATCATAAAAACCAGTAAGTATACAGAATTCAAATATTTCACATTCTCTTCTACTAAATATGGAAAAAACAAACGTCTTAAATTATATTGACTTCAGATAAATGCAGTCAAAATTATTTTTCCCTTATTTGTTTTTAAAGGGTATATTTGTAACCAGAGTACAACCTGAAGGACCGGCATCAAAACTGTTGCACCCTGGAGATAAAATAATCCAGGTACTTTAGTTTCTTATAAATCAATTAAATGGGTCACTTAATTATCTAGAAAAGGTTGGCTGGGCAGGGTGTTGTCAATCGGGGCTTTTTCTTTTTATGGCTGATAGTGGGGAATTGCTTTCTTTGTGTGGTTTTTGTCAACATTTCTTCCAAAAAATCTGAGATACTCAATTAATATCTTAAAGGTCCTTTCCATTAACATTTGAATTGGTAATAAATAAAGTAAAATTTTTAGGTAGTGATCAGAGTCATATATTCTTTCAAATCTTGGTATTAACGTTTGTGAAGAGGAAAGCCAGTGTTTGGTGTCTATATCTTGTTTTAGAATGGAATACATGTGCACGCATTGAGCTCTGCCAGTAGGCCTGTGCGAATAGGGAAGTATTTGATTCAGATTTGGCCATTTCAGAGGACAGTGATTCAATTTGGAGATTTGGATCACTCTACTGAATCAGCTTCAGAAGATTCAGCATTGATTCAGAGAGATTTGGTGATTCGGATCGGCCAGGGAGAGGCAGGCATAGCCAGGTGGCTGCAGGTTCTCTCATGGATCCTCCAGCTGCATCTGCCTCTCCCCGGGTGGTGGGGGAGACATGGGAGAAGCTCTCATGGCTGCCCTGCCTGGCCCCATCCTCCACTCAGCCCCAGCCTAGTCCCAGCACTTTAAAAAAGAAAAAAAAAAAAGCCCCATACTTGCCTGGAGCTCAGCAGTGCTTAGCCCCAGTGGCCCCAGCTCCCAGACAGCGTGCAGCGCCCTGCCAAGCTGCACTGCACCCGCACCATGAGGCAGCTGTCGCGTGGGTGCCGGGGGGGGGATCCCCGCTGCTCCCCACTGCCCCATGCTTCATGGGGGGGGGGGGCGGTCTGTCACAAGTGCCCAAGGTCCAATCACCACTCCTGCAGCTGGTGAGTGTGGGGCCTTTTTTTTGTTTTGTTTTTTTTGTTTTTGTTTTTAAGTGCTGGGAGGCTAGGCCGGGCAGGAGATGGGGCTGGGCAGGGCAGCCATGCAGGCTTCTGTGCCTGCCTCTGCCCCAGTGGGGGCGGGGAGCCACAGGGGCTATGTCCTGCTTCCATTTGCCCAGCTGGCATGGGGCGAGGGGCGCAAAGCAGGCATGGCTTGCTTTGGGTGGCAGTAGGGCATAGCCTCTGCTCCCAGTGCTGCCCCGCCTACATCAGCACTGAGAGCGGGGACTCTGCCCTGCCGCTGCTTGCCATCCAGCATGGGATGCAGGCGCAGCAGCACTGGGAGCTATGTCATGCTGCTGCTTGCCCCCTTCTACCTGGAGCAAGCCGCACTGACATCCTGCCCCCCTCCCCCCCAGCCCTGGCTGGGCAAGCAGTAGCAGGGCTCCCAGTGCTGTTGCACCCATGTTCCACACCCCACCGTGTTCCTGTCCCCAAGTAACATGCCTCCCTGCCCCAGCTGGGCAGCTTGTCCCAGCCCCAACCCCTCCCTCCACCCTCCCCCAACCACCTGGAGGCAGCTGTCAGCTGCCTATTTAGTCTATGGCCAAGTCGGCTGAATCATTTGCCAAATCGATTCGCATGCCCAAAAGAATTTAGGGCCCTGCAGGACAGGGAAGCAGTCCCTACGCAGCCCTGCACAGCCTGTTATGCCCCCAGGCCATGGGGGCTCAGCAGCACAAGCTGCTTTACCCCCAGCCATGGGGGCTCAGAGAAACCGGAAGTGCCATGGTGGGCAGTTCTGGTTTCACTTTATCTTGCAAGCCGGCATGCCGGTTAGTAGAGCATGCCAGCTTGTGAAATGCCAGATAGCACAGCCTTTACTGTAGTTATTTGGCCATAGACAGGGAATCTATATGCATTCCTTGGAGTAGGAACTGGAATCCACATCCCATCCTCCTCCTTCTCCCTGCCACTCTTGAAGTAAACGCCATAAACGCACAAATCTTGAGTCATGCTCGCTCTTTCTGGCCCACTGAATATTGAAGTATACCATACAAAGTGGGGAAATCATCAGTAGGAGGGACTGAATATACCTCAGAATACTCTAAAACCTCATGGTTACTGCATTTATCCAGGAGAGAGTTGTAGGATCAAATTCCCTTGGACATCAGAGGGAATTTGTTCTTGGTCTTGCATGAAAACTTGCACTGAGCTGTTCTATGGGAGGAGGAAGGGGTCTAGAGGTAAACAGCCACCACTGCCTGACTGTCCTCAAGGAGATAGCTGGCTTATGCTTGCTTCAAGAGAGAGGAGAGAGTTTAGGGCTCTGAAACCTGAGCAGAGACAGCATCTAAGCTCCAGAGGAGACTGGATGTTAAGCCATCCTCCTCCACAGTTCCTGCTGGCTAACTTAGAGACCCCTGCTCCAGGGCTGGCTTGTGTTAATTCCATTCTTATGCTTCTAACTGGACAGTAGAGCCTGAGTTCGGGGCTGTGGATCCCACGAGGCAGTGAGATGTCTCGAAGTGAAGTGCTGCAACAGTTTTTGTGGATCTAGCCCACAGTACTTTGCAGGATGGAGCCCTAAATACCATCTGTTAAAGTCAATAAATATCTGGTTGGATTCTTAACTGTTGGCAAGAGAATGGCCTATTTTTCTGTTTATAAGTAAGTGTGACAAGATACTAATCAAAACTGTGTCAGCTTTATTGGCTTTGATATACCAGGAACATAATAGTGTTGCTTTCTTGAAGATGTCTGATACGACCTGTCTAAGTATTATTTGTCTTCATGGCATTCTGCTTCCTGTGGTGATGTCACAATGAACTTCCTTTCTGCTAAACAAAAACTACTTACATAGTAAAAATGAGCAACATTGTAGAAGAAGGCTGCAGGACTAGTAGGCATGTAAGTGGCTGGGTGTATTCATCCTACATTCATTCTCTGGTTCAGCTGTAACTGGTGATACATTTTACATCTCCTTTTGTGAGAGCTACTAGTGCTATATTGATGCAGATTGAGGCTCCCTCCCCAGTGTGAATTTGGCAAGGATTCACAACTACTGAATTTCCTGATAGGGCAGGTGTTCCAGGAGGAAACTAGAGTGGCTGGAAATGAAAGCCAAATCCCAAAAAAGCTGCTTGCTTCTGAATTTCTGTAGAAATTTCAGAGCTTCTGCAACTGAAGATAAGATCAGATTTGCCTGCTCCCACAATTTCTACAGGCTGTCCTCCTGTTGAAAAATAACTGGGATGTTATTGAGTATCAGAACTGCAAATTTCAGGGCAAAATTCTCCCTCCCCTACTTTTTATCTGTAAAATGAACCTGGATAGATGTTTTTTTCATAGTTATAAAACACATTTCTAGTTTTCAAACTGGGGTATATTGTTTAAACTGTAATTGTATGCCTTTGGGATAGAGGACTGTTTCCTTTGTTAGCTTTGTTTAATATAAGACCAAGTCATATATAGATGGAATTTTTATCTTTTGTACTTCAGCTGCTTCTTACCTGCTTGCCTGCAAATGTGCCCCTTTGCTGCAGTGGTAGAGCAAACTTCTACACATGGGGCTCTAACATGCCAGATCACTCTATTACCCTGTTATTCTCTACAACCGGTTTTGGTTACATTGTCAATTTAATAACGTGCATATCCGTATAATGTAATTGCTGAAGTAAAAAAGGCAGCTTGTTCCCTAGCTAAACTCATTGTTACTAGGAAACTGCCATGGGCTAACTTCTAATAAAATATAATTTTCTTCTTAGGCTAATGGATACAGCTTTCTCAATATTGATCATGGACAAGCAGTGTCTTTGCTAAAGACCTTTCAGAACACAGTGGAACTTGTCATTGTGCGAGAGGTTTCTTCATAAATACCATGGACAAGGGGAAAAATGACAAGATTCATCAGAGGACTTGTGGGAAATTGAATATTTTGACTATTTTTATATATGAAAGGAACTTGAAAAGAATTATGATCAAAATTTGTACAGCAATGAAATACTGAACTTGTGGTTATGGGGGGGGAAACCACTGTATAGAACATACAGGAAATCATTTTGGAAATGCATATGGTGAATAAAAATTGTTAAGTTTTTAAGCATTATAGCAATCAAGGATCACTCCTTCAAGAACAAACCTGCATTGTTTTTGTACAGATGGTAGGTTTATTTTTTGATAATTCATACACATTACTAAACTTTGCAAGACTACGAGGAGCCTAAGTTGTAGCCAGTGGACAGATGGCAGGGCTGTCTGTCCTGTAGCTGTTTATTGCCTTTATTTTTATTCACCAGGTATTAATGTGTTATGCTGAAACCACTTCTGTAGATGTGGACAAGAGATTTGAAATGTTGGCTTTGCTATGTGCACATTGTATAGATGAATGGGTAGATGGAAGGTGGTGCTGGTTGGTTAATATAAAAGCCAGGTGAAACAATTATTTGCTATTTAAGTCTGGAATCAAGGGAGAAGGAAAGCTGGTTAGTTGGTAAATGTACGTCTACCATTTGAGTAATGCAATAAAAGCTTATGGTCTTTTTTAGGAAGACTAATTACGTTTTTATGAGCTCTACAGGATTTGCTTTTATCACAGTCATTGACTATTCATTTGCTATATGTAACTCAAGTTCTGTTTTCTAGTTGCATACCCAGGGTTTTTTTTTCCAACTGTACTGTGGAGTTTGCCCAGAGATTTTTCTCTGCCATGGAAGTCCCCAATTTTGTGCAAATGGTGATATGTCAATCTTTATAATAAATACTCCATTTTAAACTTATTTATACATTTTTGAAAAATGAAACTGAAATGGCCAGTTTTTAAGATTGTGTTGCCTGTAAAACACACACACCCGCACATGCGCACACACAGAGTAAATGATACAGGAAGAGTTAAGAAAGTCCATCTTGATCATATTTGGCCTTGCATTGCCTTGTTAATCTAAAAGGAAACAATACGCATGGAGCTAGGTAACCAAAGCAAGTTTGTGAAACTGTCAAGTGGTGATGGAGAATTGCTGTGGGGAGCCATAGAGCAAAGGGATGGGTACTTGAAACCCACCAGTTTGTAATGATATTTCTTAAAGGGCTGTACCTACAGGTAACATTAAATGTGAACTAGACACTTCAGAGTCATTAAAGGGTTTCTAACTTTATTAATGTAATGGTGATTTACCACAGGCTGCCTTTGTTCCTTATTACTGTGTAAAATATTTGATTATACTTTTATTAATTTTGTTTACCAGAAACAGTAACTTTATTTTCCTCTTTCTCCTGTATAATTGAGTAGAGATTGCATAGTCTTCAGTGATAATTAATATATGGTTGTTATGGACCAGGAAAAAGTGCCATAGAAGACCAATAACTGTTTTTAACCAAGGCTAATGATTAGCCTTTCATTGGAGCAATATTCAGTTATTGCAATTCATTCTTAAGTATATATCGGTTGATAGTTCTAAAGTTGGTGTATTTTCTTTTTTCAACCCACCTGTAATAAAAATGTTTTTAATAAGGCTAGCAGAAACACCAGCCCACTTCAGTTTTTGAGGGGAAAAAAAGTTGGAACAGAAAGGAATTCCTTAAAGCTAGCTAAAATCAACAGGCAGTATTTTTTAAATACATAAACTCCAATATTATTGCACTTCTACAAAGATGTTATTGCTTATTGTACTGTGTATAGTTCTAATAATTTTAATTGAAACCCTTTAACAACTCTTTGTATATTTTAATTCTTTTTAGTTGATTTTCAGTAATATTTACATAGGAATTGATTTTTTGATATATTAGCAGAAATGTGCTGTATTTTGATACAATCCACTTATTTTCTGTGTGTTATTAATCTTAAAAGAATGAGAAACATGGCTATATAATGGCAGGCTTCTGTATTCCCTTTCTTCTAAAACCTTTTTTTAAATTTTTTATTGACAATGCAAAATATTCACATCACACCTTCATTGTTTTTAATTGTGTTATTATCACACTCTGCCTTTTAAAGGGAATACATACAAATAAGTCCTAAATTAACTTGACTTTACACACAAACTGTATCTTTTGGTAGGGAAAGGTCCAAAAAGCAGAACTGATTCTTTATTGATCTTGGACTTTGTGTACGTTATACAGTACGTTTAAAAAGATCAATGAGGGGTTATGCTGTATTTTATTTTTGCTTTAATGTTAACAGAAGTTTCTGAATTATACTGTGTCAGTTAATTTTATGTATGTTCGTGTATGACAGAAAGTTTCTGTTACCAAAAAGAAAACAAAGTTTGGCTATGATACAAGTGTAGGACTTCAATATTTTAGCAAGAAGTTTAGTAATTCTTGTGAAATTACTTGGCCAAAGCCTGTCTTTTAAGTTAGCAAAGTAACTGTGAAATAAACTATTGATGGTGATAATTTAGCTCAGAAAAATTGGAGGCTTTTTGAGGGGGGGAAGGGGTTATATGTCTTGCATTTTTGTGTTCCTTCCATTTCTGTGTTTTAAGGGTAAATAAATACCATTCTAGAATTTTTTTTTGAGAAAGTAGTCTGTTTAACTAGACCATCAAAATACTGGAGGAAAAGGACTGTATGAAAGCTATTAGTTTTTTAATGGATCTCAAACTATACTTTTCAAACAAAAGAAAAATCTATCAGCAGCATAAGTTATTCAGCATGAACTTAATAAAATATACATCAACTCAATGTTCTTTCTCATCATGACAGTTCTTTAAAGAATCAGTTCAACTGACATAATGAAATTATGAGATTTCCTACATATTTATTATGTAAATATTTTTCTGACTTTTGGACTGGAGTTTAAAAAATGTGTATATACTTGAAACATCCTATGAACACAAACATAGCAATAAGCAACACACTGCATCAAACTTTTATGTTTAATTTGCTTTGGTTTAGAAATATTCCCTTGTCAACAGCTATGAAATGGTGTTTTTATTGATCAGCATTTATTCAACATTCCAAATTTTTGTATATAATTAGATTGTTTCTGAGATAACACATGGAGAATAGATAATAAACTAATGCTCTTTAAAGCTGTGAGTAATTGACTTATTTACTTTTTGGAAAATTCTCCAAAAAATAATTTTTCCCTCTGTGGATTTGAAACATTCAGAAGATGTAGACATCAATCCTTCATCAAAACTTCATTAGTGCTTCAAGGGAACCCTGCATGAGTGCCCAGGGGTCTTCTCTAGTGAAGCTTGATGCAAGACTGGACCATAATTTGTAAGAATATTTGCAGACCAGCACTTCATGGATATTTGTACAAAAAAAATAAAATAAGTCTTTTGTGTGTTTTAACTTTGCTATAACTGTAGCAATATCTGACAGAATGGTAGAAGACGTTTAGGACAGGAGGAAAATTGGTCCAAATGGAAATCAGTGAGGAGTCAAACATGAAATCTAAAAAAGACTGTTAAACATCGTCTTGTTTCTCCTTGGCTCTGTTTGTATAGCCAGCGTGCATCCAGGAATCTTAGAGGACCATGGATAAATAGTGGCATGGATAATAGCTTCTCAGAGCTAACATCTTTCACAACTACTGTAACCTCAGCATCCCATTAGGTAGGCAAGGTAAGGCAGTGGGGTTGAAGCAAGGCTACTTTGGGAAATGATCTGGTTTGAAAGGGGTGAAAAGGGTAGGAATGATGAAGAACTGAGCTCACCACTTGGAAGGGGAATCCAGGTTATCTGACTGATATTCTTGGGAGTTGTCTGGTAACAAAATGTAAATAAGGTAGGAATGAAACTTCTTTTTCCCTCTTATGCATGGACCTTGCATCTATCAAAATACCTTCTTATTAGGGCTGTGTGAAATGGCTCTGTTTGTTTCCATTTTGGATTCGGTCATTTCGGAGGGACTGATTCATTTTGGTGTTTTGGATCACTGTTCCATTTTGATTTGGCTGAATCTGTTTCGGAGTTTTAGCGCTGTTTCGGCACTGATTCAGAGATTCGGATCGGCCGGGCAGAGGCAGGCACAGCCAGGTGGCTGCAGGTTTTCCCACATCTCCTGCGGCTGTGCCTGCCTCTCCCCAGGCAGCGGGAGAAGCCCCCATGGCTCCCCTGCCTGGTCCCATCCCTTGCCTGGCCCCAGCCTCCCTGCACTTGGAGGGGAAAAGAAAAAAAAAAAAAAAAGCCTGCACACCAGCTGCAGCAGCTGGGATCAAGGCTCTGAGGACTTGTGGCAAAGCCCACCCATGCAGTGGGGGGCAGCAGGATGCAGCGCAGCTTGGCAGGGCACTGTGCACTGTGTGGGACCTGGGGCCACTGGGGCTGAGTGGTGCCAAACTCCAGCTGACAGGTGGAGCCACCCCAGCTCCCAGACAGTGCACAGTGCTCTGCCGAGCTGCGCTACACCTGAGCTATGCGACAGATGCCACGTGGGTGCCAAGCGGTAGAGGGGTGATCCCCACTGCCCCCCACTGCCCTGTGCTGTGCTGCGTGGGGGGCGCTCTGCCACGAGCCCTCAGGGGCCCTGATTGTCATTGCTACACCTAGTGAATGCAGGGCTTTTTTTTTTTGTGCCAGGAGGCTGGGGCTGGGCAGGGCAGCTATAGGCTGCTCCCGTGGCTTCTCCAGCTATGCCTGCCTCTGCCCACCAGGGGGAGCCACGGGAGAAGCGCCCATGGCTGCCCTGCTCAGCTCCGTCCCTCGCCCAGCCCCAGTCTCCCCGGCACTTTAAAAGGAGGGCTGCGGGGCTGTGCTGGATTCTTCCTGGGGGGCACGGGCCTCTGGATCTGCACGCGGAATGACAGCAGGCTGCTGCTGCCAGCTGGGGCCTGCACTGGGTTCTTTCCGGAGGCTATCAAGCTTTGCAAACGGTGAATTGGGAACCAGATCTCTTTTTACCATAGCGCACTTGTACATAGCCTTTGTTACAGCCTGGCCAATAGTTTTAAGCATGGGTAGAAAACCGATTTCATCCTTCAAAGCACTTTATTGAACTGAGGTTCTCCTAGAGTAGATCTATTCTTTCTATGACCCACACCAACAAGAAGTATCAAATCTCAGAGCTTTGGTTCCCTATTTGACTCCCTTCTGACTATGTGAACTGCTGAATGCTCCTCTTTTAATCCTCTGAGAACTTGATTAATTGGAGTTTTTTATAAATCGAATAACGCTCAAGCAAACTCTTTGGATAGTCCCAATACATCAGGGGTAGTTCTGTTTTCTGGATTTTCTATTTCTCCTGTCCAACCAAGACAAACCCTGGCATTTTGCTGCCAGATCTGTTGCTCCAGAATTCAATTTTTAGGGAAGAATATGCTAACATCCCATTAAATTAAGTACCGTATTTTAAATGGTGTATACAATAACATGTGTTAGTAAGAATTTTTTTTACAAGGTGGTTGAAATTGTAATAGTTCAAAGAAGTTGTTGGGAAAATTAGGTTTGTTATTACTGCAATTATATTCAGAAATATTGAAAATATATCTTGTGTGTTCTCATTCTAGTAGGAAGGTTTTAAGGATACATTTACATTTTGTACTCTGGGCACATAGATGAGAGTAATTGTACTGTTTCACTAAAGCACTGATGTGTAGCTATCACAGTGGAGATAATTTAAGGTAAATACTTTTGCTAACGTAACAATGGAAGTCCTCTACCTTTTGAAAATGTACAACAATTTCATACTTGAAGTGGCAATTCTCTCAAGTTTTAAATGTTACTTTTTTGCTATGCAGAAACTAATTTTCCATGTGTGCAACAGTAATGACACATCAAGTTGATAAAGCAATTATATTCCTACAGTCAGTTGTTTCTGAACAATCAACTGCAGAACTGACTAAAATTTAGCATGTTGAGCAAACAATCCTTTTAGCCACTTCTGTTTGGTATTTAGTATAGATTCTTAGTCACTTCGACAAATAGATGACAAAACTGAAGTTCTTATTTTTTCAGGCTTGTGTATTTCTGATTATTCTCATGACTATGAAAATTAGTGGCAAAGGAAAAAAAAAACATGCCCAACAGCACTAGTGAAGGAGCTGTTGTAAATGCAAACTCATAACAAACATCTAAAATGGTTTAACAGTATTTCATCTCTTCTGTTATAGACCGTCTTTTTTACTTATGAGATGAAATTGTCTCACCATACATGGTAATTACTCACAAATTTGTTGATTATTAAACAGTTATTTTTCTAAAATACAGAAGCATAAAATTTCAAAATAGACGTTCATTCTGATATTTGGAAGACATTTTAAATTTCCAAAATGGTGGGTAAATATTTAATAGGTAACTAATTTATGAGCATTTGGAGTCTTAAGAGCCACTAACAATTTCATTTCATCTGGGATGGGGGAAGGAACATATACAAAACAGTGACTTTGTATATGTCTAGTAGAAGGTAGGGCAGCATGGTACCTTCTTAGCATCTGACAAAGTAAACTTGCCTATGAAAGTTTATATCCTCCTGAACCAGTCTCTAAGGTGCCACCCTGCCCTACCTTCCACTTAAGTAGTCTAACACAGCCAGCCACCTGTGTTGATATATTTCTAAAATAATTACATCTTGAAGACTTATTTTTGCATTATTTCAGTTTACACTGAAGTATCTGCATATCCACTTTTTAGAGATTTAGGGTGCTTGTAGACATGTAGGGATGCTGCTCCAATGCACTGTAATTACCGAGTGCCAGTGTAGACTCAATTAATTAATTATTTCAGTGTAGGCCAGGCACAGTAGTTGTGTTCTGATTTTCTGGCAGGGCTGGGTCTCTGTACAATAGATATACCTGGTTATTGGTTCTTATGCACCATTCCTGTATTATGGGATCATACAGTCCAACACTATTTTCTATTTTTGAAGGATTAAAAAATGGAGGTGGTACTATACTATATGTCTGTATATTTTTATTTGGACAAGATGCTGTTTCATTAGTGTTTCAGCTTGGGAGCTTCGTTTTCTTTTTCTCCCCAAGATCCAAGGCAGTGAAGCTAAATTTCCCATGATGTACTGTGTGGTCCCTTCTTGCTGAGCCAAGTGGTGTATGTTATCAGATGTAGTCTGGTTTAGAAGGGAATTGTAAGGAAAAGAAGGGGGAAAAGAAAAGTGGTGATCTCTCCTCTGCAGCACTAAGTCAAGAAGAAAAGGTGAATGAGGCAGTCTACAAGGATACAAGATTATCTAAAAATTATGAGATGGTCACAATGAGAAATTTTAAATCAATCAATATTTACTGGAAGAATAACACAGCGAAATATCAAATATCCAGTAAGTTTCATGCATAGAGGACAATGTTCAACTCCAGAAAGGTGAGGATTTAATTGAGGGATCATTTATCTTGGATGTTGTTCTGACCAATAAGAAAGAACTAGTAGAGAATGTGAAGGTGATTTGGAACCGGGGAGGAAGCAGCCGTGGTATGATAGAGTCCATCTTTCTAAGAATCTCATCTATTTCAACACAGTGCAAAAATAAGAAAAATGGCAGGAGAGTGATGCAGCCACAGAAAGAGCTTCTTAGATACCACAAAATCAAAAGGAAAACTTACAGGCAATGGAAAGAAGGAAAGAACTTTTCAGTAAGGAAAAATACCAAAAAAATATGCAGGAACAAAATCAGGAAATGAAGGGTAAAACACTGAGTTATATCGGGTAAAGGAAGTTGAAGACAACAATCCTTTGGTCAGAAAAAGAAAGACCAAAACAGCCTTTGTGGTCAGGGTGAGCTATTAACAGAAGATGCAAATAAGGCAGAGCTGCTCTACAACTTCATCTTGGTGCTCAGAAAAAATGAGCAATCAGACAGTTAACAAAAATAATGGAGACAAAGAGAGGAAAGAGCCAGGAGTCATGATAATGGAAGGGTGTATCAGAGAGCTTTTGATTAATCTGAATGAGGTACTTTGTACTGCTACAAATAAACATTTGTCCATATCCTGAATTGCAATTATCTGATGGCAAAATCTGTATGATGAAAGTACTGAGAGGCCCTACCATCATGCCAACATATTCAATATATGCTTCTAGTAGGATCCAATCCACAGAAGATTCTGCTGCTGTTGAATACACATAGCAGATATTTACAT